CTGTGTGGAATCACTGTTAGCATGTATATTGTAATTCGACAGTGTATAGTGAATATAATTATTTCTTATCTCTCTCATTTTTGAAATTCAGCAGATTTGCATATGTTATTTCCAGAATGGATAAGAAAAAGTGGATGCGCAACTAATTTCTAGCTTTGAATGTCAAGTAAGTGTAATTGAGACAAGAATCCAGTGGAATTATCATCAGCACAATCATATTATAGCAATAAATCCTAACTATGCACCTATCCATTGCTGTTTCCTTCTAACTATAGCATACAACTTACAGGTTAGACCTTCAGTAATGCCATCTTTGAATCAGATTTTCGCATCAGAGCCAAACATTGATAATTGAAGCCTCATGCCGTTTGGACAACACGTACCACTACAAAACGAATTCACAACGTCTCCATTAGCTAGTGCCAAGTTAATATCTTGTATAAAACCTACATAATGTCACAAGAAAACAATACTGCCTAAAAAAAAGCGGCATAAGGTCACATTTCAAAATACGTAATCCCCGTGCGGGACACAGAGAGTAAGTCGAGTTCTTCCAATAAATGAATGTCAAGCACAAAACCTTCGTTCTTTAGAGGAATTGCGCTGAGGTCGATGCCGAAACCTGTGTCTCAAAAGCTGACTCTGCGCACCTAGACAAGGAGTTTTAATTAACGATCCAGAGCAGGTCGATGGTCCGTAAGTTTAAAGACAGGCCTCTCAATGCCATTTTTACACAGCCTTAAAAATAGCGTCAAGTAGGCTGACCACAAATATTGTTTCTAAGATGATCCTGGACCCATAACCTGTGGCATGATTCTAAATTAGTTTCGACCATTGAAATTGATTTCGATGGCGCTTTGTGGCGATATACTTGATGAGCTATGATAATTTTGACAATGCCATGATAATTTGAATATAGAAGATCAATATAATCAGATGTCCAAATTATCATAGCGAATCAGGTATATCGTCACAAGGCGCCATCGAAATCAATTTCAACAGTCGAAACAACAAACACCCCAAAAGATATACTCCGACCAGATCATATACTTCAAAATACGGTTGAAAACAAAGTAATACTATCGCTATTTTAAAGAATTTTCACAAAATCGCAACTTTTGAGACTGTACTATTTTGTTCTGAAGTTGTTTTTTGCAGTCAGCGTCACAGGATATATTTCCAAATGGTGTATTATTGATAAAAAGCAATTAGACAAAAATTAGTCCAGGTAATGTAGGTACAGCAATCGGCTATTGTCAAAAATATTACAACATATTCAACAAGGTCTGTACAAAGAAATCGTGGATAGCTAAGATGTCCATAACTATAAAAAACGTCTGGATATTACGGCCTAAAGTATCTTTTATATAATCAAATATTCTAAATGGTTATTGCGCAAGATTGGCAAGATGCTGCAGGTATCCTAAATCTTGAAAATTCGAATTTTGTGAACTTGACCCTATAAATCGGATGGAGACTTACATAGTTTTTCTGACTGGAAATGATCTTGCTCTCAACTTCATCCGCACGGGTATTACTTATCCTGAAAAGTGACAATTTGATGGTTTTTCTTACGTTTTGTAGGTTTCTTTTGACATTTTGTAGGGTTTTCTACAAGATATTAACATAGCACATGGTGTTGTACACTTGTTGTGAACTCGTTTTGTAGCTATACGTGTTGCTTAAAGGTCAACGAACAGCGATAATAGCAAGCAAACGTGGAATGAACTATTTGAACACTAAAAACTACCTAGTCTACGACATTTCGTCGCTTTTTGACATTGACTTGACATTGAATATGACCTACAGGGTTATTTCAAAGTCAAAACAAGTTTCTTAAATGAAACCAGTATTTTTGACAACGGAATTACAGAGCTAGGAATCTGTGGGTATTTGTAGAGTAGAGGATGAAGAAAATATCTCAAAAAGTACGGTTCATAAAGCAAAATTTTGTGTAATAAAATTGTAAGGTGTAAAAAGATTAATCTAATGGTGAACTTGAACGTCACTATGATCAAGCTGATTTGATGTTCAAGACAGCTTTCTCAGACACTCGAAATATGAAGGCAAGAAACTTATCATCAACATCACTTGAAGATGAAAGTAATTCTTACGGAAAACATCTAATTTTAGTTTCTGAAATGCAAATTGCGGACAATTCTAAGTTCAGGTCCTTGCCATCGGACGTAACTGTGAAATTCAATGTGATTTTTAAATCAGATTTATTTTGAAGTAAGGTTCGTACTTTTTGTCGAGGATTTAAAAAAGTGAAACATGGAAACTAATCTACTGTTACATGAAAATTTTGTATAAAAAAGGTTGTTGCCAAAGTAACTATTGCGTTACTTTAAATATTGCATTCGTTCCAATCTTCTCCACACTAATGTGAAACGCATGACCTATACTTTACACTACTTCCACGCTAGCGAAGCCGCGAGTTTAGACTAGTGACAATATATTCTGTTTTTCAGGTGACAGTTAATTTTTATTTTTCTTTTCTTTTCTACTATACCGTGTGTTGCTTCAATACCCTGAACAGTCCTGCACCATGCTGAGATCGCCAAGTACCATCATTACAATTCTGAGAGGGTTCCGCGTTAAAGCAGAAAAGACCATGATCACCTGGGGTAGGCATTCCAGTTCCCGAAGAACCTTCCAAATACGCCACCTTCGCCCGCCGTCCCGAAAATGCTGAACGTGCTCCAAGAGTGCGAGATCCCACCCAGAACTGTTACAAATTTTCAAGGTTTTTTTTTCAGGATTCCCGCTCTTTCTGATAAACCACCACCAATAACCCTTTCTTATATAGTAGAGAGAAAGCTATAGATTAATGCATCTATGCCCACTCAAAGGGTTGAGAACGATTTTTGTGGTTAAATACCATATTTTAAGCTCTATTCTTCATTCTAGAACCATCCAAGCATCTTTGAAGGGACTACCACCTTTGATCCTAATACGAAAGAAGCGTTTTAAGTGCCGCGAAAGGACTACGTAGGCGCATGGAACGTAATGTAATCTAGAGCTGGGATATATCGACAGGAATTACGCTTACTACGGATACGATATATAAGACAACAACTACGGTATCAATTTCTTTGCGACACGACATAAACAAGTCTAGACACCGAAAGCCAGATCTAATTCGGTTTACAGTAAATGAGGTACTTTGAAAATTGATATTGAGCTAAGTAGCTCCCAAAGAAATATACAAAGCGATGCCTCCGCGTAGCACATGGCCTGTACCACCGAGTGTACACAAAGTCTCTCCACTACACGCTGGGCATATCTGCTAACCGCTGGCCAGCCGCGAAACAACCGCTCAGCTACAGCTTGTGCAAATGTACTCGCTCTGCCTTGAGCTTACAGAAGAAATCAGCATAAACCAGGAATTGGACCAGAGCGACGTTCATGGAAAGGAACAGTTACATTGCGAATAAATAAAGTCATAAGAACAAAACCACACGCAACGCAAATATAGCTGTATCACTTGATTGCAAGGTAACATCTAATTGTCTAGCAAAGCTGAACGTTCATAACTGTCTCCTGAAAACCTTACCCGAGAAGAGCGTAGCCCAGCGGATAGTTTTAAACAAGCTGTAGCTGAGCAGTTGTAACATTCTAGCCATAGGTGATCAGAAGTATCCTGGCAGTTCGGTAGTATTCCGTAACAGGATGCAGACTGTTTCGAATTCAACAATATTCTGGTACCTACATGTGACGACACATGATGTCGCACATGTTGCAGCACTTTTATTTAATGGAATCGCATCTTATTACTGTTTCAACGCAGGAGCATGAAGAATAACATCAAGGAGATTGAAAAAGATGCTAACGCCGATAATTATGAATCTTTATAACTATTTTCCGTTTCTTTTTCAGGTAAGAATCATCATCAACATTAGTAGGAAAAGAGGTAGGTGTATACATATTTCGCTACAGCATTAAGTAAAACTGAATCACTTGACTAAATAAATTCGCCAAAACACATATAAACGGCTGCCTTATGAGCCTCTGCAAGTTGACCTCAATCATAACCGTCAAGGACAGGGACAACTTCAAATTTATGTTCACGATTGGCGAGTCTGGGAAAAATCCTAAAAACAGTACGTTCTATTTCTTCTCTAATAATATTACCTTAAAACTTACGTTATTCTCCATAAAGCTGTTTTCATTAAGAAAACTGCGTGGTTCATCTCCAGAAACACATCTTTCAATAAGAATGCCGGGGTCATTTCCATTTCTTTATTCAATATCAAAAGTTATAAACATATCAGCCGAGCAGCACAATACATGTAAGACCGCTATTGAACGGCCGGACAATGAACCTTGTCCGTATACAGATTACCAAATTTTCTGATAAACTAAACAACTCCACAGCAGATTCTGGCTCGTTCCCCAGTCAGGCCGAGGCCCCATTGTCTCAGCTAACAAAGTACGCTCCGCGTTGTACACTGCTTCCACCACATTTAACCGATACTAAAATGCACGGCAAACCATGTTGTCGTGCATGCGTGTACAGATGCATACATCCGAGATATGTCAACCGTTAGACAGCGGAACTGGGTGTATATGTTTTACAGGGTGATTCACAAGTTGTGACAAAAAATGAAACATCATAAACAGGGCCGCATTTTAAGGGAGGTTTCTATATAAAATTCTTGCCACCAAAATCACCAGATGGTTCCCGTGCGCCACACTAGTTTTTTTATGAAAATGTGTTTAAAATGGTTTGTCACCACAGCTCAGATACATCATCTATATAATCTCATTGTATTTTATTGGTAATATAAGCTAGTTCTGTTCTAAATGTCACGTTGTGCGGTTCATTTATTCCTGACTGGTCCACCAGCGTAGAATTAGCTGAAAATTACAAGTCAGGAAAACGCATGTAGTGAGAACACTGCGAAAAAATCGTAGCGGTATTGCGAAAATACTGTCCACTAACTTGAAGAAAGGTGAAATTGTAGGGAGAGAGAGAACAACAGCATCGTTATTTTCAAATGGAAGATAAGCGAAATGTGCTTGTGCTTACCACTAGGCATAAACTCAACTTCTTTGAAGTCTCCGACAGACCTGAGGCCAAAAAGAAGCCGGAAGCTATTGTGGCTTATAATAATGCAAAAACACTTTATCGATGTATTCGACCAGTTGTCATACTATTCTACCTCGGACGGAGTATCAAATGGTACAGGAAGGTGGCTGTTGAGTTACTTACTGGAACAAGCTAGTAAACGCCCATTATTTTATATAATAATAATAAAAATGCACGTGAAAGAATAAGTGTAACAGACTTCAAAGAAAAATGTGCTTGAAATTACTTTCAAAAGGTAAGCGAAATTTGGATCCCCATGACACACCCGCAGAGCATAAATTTATTCATGCAAAAAAAAGTAGATGCGTAGTTTGCTACCAACGAAATAAAGATAACCACGATGCAATAAGTAAACATAAGAAGTACAACTACTACAAAAGTCTGTGAACTAAAATTCCGTTGCTTAGAATGTTTTTTTTGATAAGAACAAAATTATGCCAAAATAATCATTGGACATTATTTGAAAATATGTTTTATTGTCTTATTTTGTAGAACGATTTGTGTTGTTGGTGTTTGCATTTAACTTTAGGTCGATAATGTAAATAATGTCATGTAATATCTATTTTTGCTTTTGTTAAAAATGTTCGCTTCAAACGATTAAGAAGCTTGTCTCTATTTCATATTCTACCGTATTATTAGTTAAAATAAACACTTTTATAACAAAACGGACAGTTTATTAGCATTAAGTTATGAAGAAAATCTATTATTATTAAAAGGATACGAGGTTTTGAAGTTTAAAAATAAAAAACCATTTTTTTAATATCTTCAAAGCCGTCAACTGGAATGGACTAAAATTTATAAAAGTCTTTAAAATTAACGTGCACCAGTGACGGAAATACTAGGGATTAGTGGCATTATTTTTCCAAATAAAAATAATACGCAACGCATTATCGAAAGCGGCCACAATATCCCACAACGTGTTTTTAAAGATGTCCATAACGGGCAACATTTTGAGCACTTATTGAAATAAAAAGTCATATTTTCGTGTGTTTTTGCTTTCTATCTGAACAAATTAGGATAAATAAAGGTTTTTATAATTTTCTTGAAAACGAATTGACCGATTTGTAAAAATCAAACGTCAAAATAAGGGACTTCGGATGACCTTACATACAAGCTATACCCGATATTCCTTGTCATTTAAAATTTTTAAGGGGATGACCTTGGAGGGCAGAAGGTGAAAGGGGGTGGAGTATTTGTTAGTTAAAATGTTGTCCTGGTTGACTTGGTCTTTTGACGTGTCTCGGCGTTCGTTTGTCTTTTAATCAGTGGTCTTCGATAATCCGTGAAGTTTTCAATTAGTTAAATCAACAGCTCAATTATTTTCGTTCTACATCACCAAAGGGTTTCAATGCTGAACAATACTTAAGATAAAAAGAACATACGAAAGTTGACTCAGATACTAAACATGTTCAAAGAATTGCTTATAAATACAGAGCGATCTATCATTTTTTATCGCCAAACTGATGTAGAAGGCAGCTTCCCAACATTGGACGCATTTGTATGGGCAACAAAGAAGCCAGCTTCCCTGACGTCAACGCATGACCCCTTCATTGCTAATTTGTCAGTCTTGCCAGCAGTTACCCGCTTGCTCATCCCCTTTATAAATAATTAGCTTTCGAAGCAGCTGAGTACAGCTTCGACGCCACCTTGCGGCATTTTGTGCCGTGTACTTTCGCAACAAGGGATGAAATTACCATACCGGATACTTTCATTTTAGTGAACGGTGGATGCTGTGTAACACGTGGGGAATATTTTAAGGCCCCTCGCTAATGATCGTTATCCCCCCGATAGGAGAAGCTTAAGCCTCCCGGTAAATATATGCAGACGCACCAACATATTTCCGCAGCTTAACCTTGCCCGGCGAGGCATTTGTCTAGACGACCTGCATTATTTATCGAGGTTGTGCGTATACTGCACGATGGGAAATAGCTGCGGGAAAAGTAGTCATGAGAGAAGCATGTTGATACGGGGGCCTTCCTTCACAGAACATCTAACCTACCAAAAGAGGGTTCCCATATTCCTTGCAAGATCATCATATGTCACAGGAACTTTGGAGCGCTTTAAATAACATTATATACATGTATATACACCTTCGGAAAAACCATTATTGTACATTATGATAAGGAAGAGAGATGGAAATATACAAAAGTATGTAGGTGCGTGAAAGACACTCGATTGTAGGATCCTATCTGGCAGCGTCGGAGTGTGACGGACAACGGGGTAAAGTAGAAGAGTGATAAAAGAGAGATGGCAGAACGGGCGCTGGCGCCTGCCGCTTAGACGGATGCGCTCAACAAATGCGATTTGTTTCTCCCATTCGCAGAGTTTCCGATACCAATATGTCATATTTCTAAGAAATCTAAGTCTACCCAAATTTCGGGAAAAATAGCTGCGGATTCCACATAAGAGTATTCCAAAAATGAAAAAAGTTCAAACTATTAAAATTGTATTAAAGTTTCATGGTTCAAATCATATTTTTCATGTTTGTATATTGTTGTATAAATGATTTTGTAATCCCTATTCTTGTTGCCAGTAGAGATACAAAAATATTGAGAGAAATCATGGACCGCTAGATAGGGCTACAACTACCTTATGACTATCAAATAGTAGTGATAAACAGGGTTTGTTCATAGCACAGTTGCCTGTTGTGGCGAATTTGCGCCATAGGGGCGATTTGACAACTTTGAAGGACAACTATAACGGGTACTATGGTGCCCGGTATTCGGGAATCTGGCAATACCTGATGATTCCTAACGTTTATTACGCCAGATTGTTTGCTGACTTGCGCAGTACAACATGACAATCAACGTGACTGAGCACCTGGTAACCCTGGTTTAAGGTGTTATATTTAAAGAGCTTGGGGCAGTTAGGTATCTAGGTCACATTTTTTGATGTATTTCGAGAAATCCGTAATGTTGAGTAAATACTAGATCACGTTTCTTGCTTAGTTTGCTGAAAATTCTACAATAGACGTACATTTTGAGAAACAGAGATTTGGTGACGACAAAATCGTAAAAATATAGCGCATTTTCGTAAAATAATTTCTTTGTTGAAAAGACTGTGGCTTGATGACCCATTGAACGAGTATCCTGCTCCGCTTTGAATATTCGAAACACTATACTCCAGCAGCATTCAGCTTCAATGTTATCTTTTTGAAGTTCTAACGTCTAGGCCATGCTGATTAAAAGCTTGAATGAATCAACACTTAACTCTAAATTCCCCACAATTCGGGAAGCTCTACTCAAATTGGCAACACAGCGTATCTGCCTATTATTCTCATTCGTGATACAGGTCTGCGGTCTGCTGCAAATTTCAGTATGCGCTGGGTCGACAGAAGTAGTACAGTAGATGCGCGCATTACGCACCAGTTCGATTGGACGTCCTGTGAACCGATTTCGGTGATTTCGAGATTTCACGAAATCACCTAAATCACTCTACTTATTTTTATGAATGGATAATTGGTTTTGTAGCCATAAAGGTTGCGTCTCATAACAAAAATAAGAAGATACCCACTCTAACAAAAATAGTACACTATTAAAAATGTGTAACGAAAATGAAAAGATATTCTAACGAAAAAATAAGTTCTCAAAAATAAAACGCAATAATGAACACAAATGTTTCAAATGGTCCTTCACAGCTGGGGCTCAAAAACGTCTCCTTCATTCAATGAACAGTATGTCAGGCTGTTATAAAACTTCTGACGAACTCTCAAGAGGGTAGAAGGCTGTATTTGCCCGAGCGCTTCAACGATTTTCACCTGTAGGTTATGCAAATTGTCTGCTCTCTCATTGAAAGTGTAAACAGTACTTTTCACATAACCCCACAAGAAAAAATCATTGGGCGCTAGATCGGATGATCTAGGAGGCCATTTTATTGTTCCGTTACCGCCAATAATCCGGTGGCCGAACACACTTTCAAGGTAAGTGTGTACGATCGCCGCATTATGCGCCGGGCATCCATCTTGTTGGAACCAAATATTAGCGAGATCAATGCCAAGCTGCCTAATTGCAGGAACAATCTGCGTCTATAGTAACGCCAAATATTTTGCAGCCGTAAGAGTTCCATCAATAAAAAACGGTCCGATAATGTTATTACCTAGAATTCCTGCCCACACATTCAGTTTCTGTGGATACTGCGTGCGGACGGGAATACTGAGGTGTTTATTTTCCCGAGACCAATACCGAACGACTGAAGGATTGTGATGACCGTGGAGAGGGAATTTTGATTCATCAGTAAACAAAATGTTACCAATAAAACTTCCATCCCTGTTCGCCTTTTCCATGGCCGTTTCACAAAACTCCATTCGACGGTATTTGTCTAAAGGAAATATTTCTTGAACCGTTCCAACCTTGAAGCTATGATAGCCGTTGCGATGCAAAATATTTCTTGTTGTTCTGGGTGTGAGATCGGCTATTGGTACCATTTCAGCAATTTTTCTGCTTGAGCATGGCTCAGATACTTCTGCAGCGGCACAAACAGCAGTTTCGATCTCCTCCCTTTTCTCGCTAATTTTTGGTTTCCAACCTTCAGGGTGCATGCAGCTATGGCACTTATGTGCGTGTGAATTTTTCGTAGGTATTTATAACCGTTGCGTGAGACGGAATTGGCCGATCTGGGAAGCGTACCGCAAATAATTCAACAACCGCGCGTGCTGAATTATTCTGGATGTACCATTCTATCATTTGAAACTTTTCTTCTTGCGAGTACATTTTTAAGATATTTTGGATTAAATAAAGACGCACCTTTCCTACACAAAACCCAACCGCAGAGTGAGTCATGAATCCCTTATCGCACTTGACGACGGCACGCGCGTTAACGGTAGGAAATATGTACGAATAGCGATGAAAGTAGACGAGCCGATGCGCTGTTGCCAAGAAATGATTTCCCATGTATAACAATGGTTTTTCCTAAGGTGTATAACTTGAAATGTGGTCATTGTCGTCTAGACCAGTTAGGTGAAAATTAAAGCTTCCGCCTTTTGTTGGGTACTTCGACAAAATTAAGCAAGGAGGACTCTTGATTCTTTTTTAATCTCTCTAGCTTTCAATGGTCTTTGAAATCATCATCAGGAGCTGCAATGACATTGAGAAAAATAGCAGCAATTGTGCAAATGAATTTAAATTTACTTACAGTAGT